TCCAGCCGATTCCACGTGCCTTGAGGGGAGCACCAGGTGCCACTGGGACCACTGTGTACATGCTCAAAAGTAGTAGGGGCCCAGGCCTCGGCGCGAGAAAGGAACTCGTGGAAGAGGCCGCCGGCCGGCGTCTCATCTTCTGCGTGGAGACATCCTACTGAATCGGTGGTGAGGCTGCCAATTCTAGCGTTGGCATCGCCCAGCAATAGGAAATCGGCACCAGGCGGACGTGCAGAAAGCTCCTGCAGCCTTGTAGACCAAAAAGCTGAGACCTGCTCGATGGGGCACTTATGGGCTGAAGGAGCATAGAACACCTGAACATGCAGCCTAAAGCGCTTGGTCAGCACATTGACAGTGAGATGACGAGGAGAAGAACTGACAACAGTAAAGTCCGATTCCTGAAAGAAAAGGGGACCTTCAGGACCATTGCCATAAGGCCGGAGTCGAGAAAGCCACAGACTGCAGCCACCGACGCCTGCTTCAGTAGCTGCAGCATTGAGAATCCAGTACTCCTGATCGCTTTGCATGGCAGCCTCACCTAAGCGCGTTTCCTGGAGGCCGACAATGGTGGGAGTATGCTCTCTCAGGGAAGTCTTCAGGACTTCTTTGCGACCTAACATACGCATACCTGAAACCTGAGGTACCTTGGAACCTTTGCGTGGATCCTTGAGTGTGAGCACGTTGAAGCTAATGCATGTTAGCCTGAAGGTAACCTCAGCCTCTGGTAGCTGCTCCCGGCAGATCCCGAGACCAGGGGCCGTCGAAGGGCGCTGAAAGCCTGCTTGAGCAATCTGAGACTCGACCTCAAAGGCAAAGGGGCAAAAAGGCCCAGGCCCAAGCTCGGAGTTCGTGGCGAGCGAAATCAGCGACCCACCGTGGAAGAACAACCTCGTCCGCGGGCGTATGATCACGACGAGCAGTCTTCGCCAACGCATCGACTAAGTCATTGCCGAGAATACCAGAGTGCCCGGAGACATGGGCATGGGAGGTGTGCAGCTGGGCATCTACATATTGCCTGAGCGTCGCAGCAAGAAGCGACAAAGGGCGGTAGTGCTCTGGCCTGCGACCAGACGGTAGAGAAGCAGCACCAAAGGCCCCTTCACCGGCCCCCAAGGCATCGTACTTAAACAGAAAAGGGACATCGCCATACCTGGACCCGAACTGTGCAGCCCAACCAAGCGACCAGCACAATGCCAACAACTCAGCGGTAAGCGCATCCTCAACTTGCTCGCCAAGATGATAAGGAGACTCTGGCGTGAAGGCCCGGGCAGCAGCATGGCCGAGGAAGGCAACACCTACGTCAGTTTCAGCAAACACAGCGAAGGCCCAGGCGCATGGTTTGATGTCGTTTTCAGAGGCTGACGCAGAACCATCGGTGAAGACAACGATCTTCTGAGGAGCAGGGCGCCCGAGCTTATACCAAGAGGGCAGGGCAGCAAAAGCCTGGCGCCAATTTGCTGGAATACCGGGATTACCAAGCACAGCAGTAAGATCGATATCTAACCAGTCCTCGGACGTCGCATCACTTGGGTGTGGCAGAAGGGCCTCAAGGGACAAACACGCGCGCTGATGATCCGAAACGGGGAGAGCGTCCGCAAGGCTGATGTGAGCGGGCGCTGCGTCGACCCGAGGCAGTGGACCATGGAAGTGCTCCTCAAGAGTATCCAGAAGGGTGGCCGCCTTGAATGCCCAATCAACACTCTGACCCGCAGCAAGGTCGAGAAGAGTATGAAGCGGATCACGACAGAGGGTCCGGAATTCAGCAGGACGCCGCGCACGGCAGGGAGTGGGAAGGCCGCGCCAGACGCTAGCCTGTACTGTTGCAGAAGCGCCTGGAAAAGAGTGGCTGCAGGCGGCAACAGCAGAATCTTGATGTGACCTAATAGGAGCCCCTGCTTGTAGAGGCATGATGCAGGAGAAAAGAATCACACCTGTGAGGTACTTAGCAAGGAAGCCAGCGCACCCATGATGCCTTCTCCCGCCACGAGTCGGGGTAGCGTCGGAAGGGTGGGCAGAGGTGGATGCACTCGGCGAGGATTGCTGGGGTGGATGACGGAATGGCTCAAGACCAGCAGGGCCCTCACCTGGGTCTTCTCCGAAAGGGGACGCACCGTCCTCCTGTGCCACATTGTCACCAAACCATGCATGCAACGGTTCGCATGTCACGAGAAATGGCTGACCTGGAACAGCCCAGGTCCAAGTCCAATGAGGCCAGCAGCCCCGAAAAACTAAAGTGTAACCGTCCGGCACAAGCGGGGCAAGGTCGGCCCTGAGCTGCAAAAGATCAAGCCAACCTTCCGTGGCAGCAATGCTGTGCCATCCTGCAAAAAGCTGACGCAGGTCAAGAACGCAAGCGCAGTATTGACCGTGGCCTGGCGTATCAACGTGCTCGCTGACAATAATTGCAGTACGGCAAGCTCTACCCTGATGACACACATCAGCTGGACGAGGAATGACAGGCGTAAGGCAGAGACGCTGGCCATGAATGCCGAAGTGCAGAGCAATGTCAGCCCGATAGAGGGTGGCCCGGTGCGGTAAGAGGTGATACCCCCAACAGTGCACGGAGGAGACAAGGAAAAACCAATCCCCTTCGTCTTGCCTAATTACCGGCGGATAGGGGTCCCAAGGGAGGTGGCTAGCAAGCATCCACTGTAGCGTTACTGACATCTCCCCTGTGGGGACGACGCGAACACATGGCCGTCCTGAAACGGTTGCTCCTCCTGTGCAACATAGACATCAACGTCTGCATGAGGAGAGAGCCCGGCGAGTTGTAACAGAGTGGCTCGGTCGACTAAAGCTGGAGCACAGACAGCGAAAAAACGACCATCATAATCAAAAGTGCTGAAGCAGATCACTGGAAGCGCAACTTCCCATGCTGGCAGAGCAAGGACTGCAGCCCAGCTGACAAATGGCTGCGGGACTGCAGGCAATAAGCGTGGGAAACTGTCGCGAGATGCTCCCTCTCGACACACTTGCAGAACTTCGAGAGCCTCGGCCGGTGTCTGAGGCACAAGAAGAGTGAGATGCACGAACTCGACAGGGTAATCTGGCACAAGGATGCAGAAAACCGTCTGGGCCATAGTCTCGGCATCATCAATGGCTTCATCGGAGTCAGGCTCGGCGTCGACATGATGGCCATCGGCCGAGACCCTGAGAGGCCAGGTTCCACCGAGACGGAAGGTCGCACCTCTGGCGGCCTCCCATAGTGCCTGAACCCGAGGACTGGAGCTACACGGCTCCTGCAGGAGTTTGGCCTGGCGACACCAGCTCCTACAACAGGAAACACAGACGGCAGCAATGACTGAAGCATAAAGACTAGCCCCAAGGATAGCAAGCCGGAAGACTGAAATGCAGACCCCCAGGAGGACAGGGGTGAGGCCGCGCTTGTTCTCAACAAGAACATCATGACAAAAAACGCGGCTCCACTTGACTACTCGACTGGACTCGCCAACTTCAGAAAATCCGGGAAGGGGACTAACCTTATGGCCGGGGACATTAAGGAGCCCTCGTAAACCGAAGCCAGAAAATAAGGTGCACCGAGGGAAGAACTGGCCACAGCCACCCGCATCGTGGACTTGCAATTTCCTTCGGGCGCACCCGTAGAGGTACGACTGGCAACGGGTAGGGCTCTTACGGCATAAGAGGCCATGCGACGGGACAGGAGCGTGTTGCCGCGGTGACCGACTACGCTGGTCCTGTCTGGGCTGCGCATGGGAGGCACGGGAACCTGTCGGCCAAGATGGCATGGCATTACCTTCACCTATGCCTCGTTCGCTGTGATCCGTATAGCTGTCAAACGGAGGCTGGTCATCATCGAGCGGATCGTCCTCGAAGAAGTCCTGAACAAACTCAATGATAACGGTCTGACCGGGAGCAACAGGAAAAACGGGGCCTCCATCAGCACTAATAACCTCAAGGCCACGTGTAGAGACAATGTGGCCTGCTGGGCATTGAGGCTGAAACATGTCAACAAGATCTTGCACCCTGACATGATTACTGGGCAGCAAAAGCCATCGAAGGCCTGCTAGAATGCGGCGGCAATCCAGGACAAGAACAGTGCGGCCTTCACGCTTCCGGGCAGGTGGGTAGGGCACTCTGGAAAGTTGCTCCGTAGAAACCAAGACACCTGAAGTCGGAAAACCATACGCGAAGAAGTCCTGGATCCTAGGCTGGACACCCACAAGTGAAAGCTTATCGCAATCAGCTGACAGGGCAGTAGCTATATCCTCTCTGAAGTGGCTGCGACGGCCAGCCGCAACTGAAAACAGATGTGGCATGCCATCCGTGAGAAGCCAGTGGTGGCTGCCAGGATAGCAATGCGGCCCTTGAAGGTCCGCCTCACAGTTCCAGCCGTCTGCCGAAAGCAGCATTGTTGCGAGGTCTTGACCGGCAGGGACACCTATACCCGCAGGAACAACAGCAACGGTCATCCCTGACAGGAGGCTAACGGGTTCGTGCTCAGCAAGAGGGCGGCCAAGACCATGGACATAAACATTGACCCGAACATCGCGGTCAATGCCGGCAGCAACGAGTAAGGATTCGCGGCTCGCCCGAAGATATAGTGCGACAGCAAAGGTGCAGTGATTATACCTGCTACAGTCGATCAATACCACGACCTTGTCTTGAAGCCAGTCAGGAGCTGCAAGAAAAGTGGCATATTCATGCATGGGCTGTGGCCCGGCTGGGAACAGGTCAGGGAAGTGGAGGCGTTGTTCGCCGAGTCGCAGAGGCTGAACAGCAGCTGCGAGCTGTGCCACACCGCAAGGAATGTGTACCGCAACCTCATGTACCTCTGGCACATAATCAGGAACATAGATGAGAACAAGTACCTTGGTGGGTGGGACCGCACTCGATTCAGTATCCTCTGCATGTGCATCTGAAGCGGCACTTCTGGACCGTACGGCACCTGCACCAACATTGGCTCCTGAAGGTATTGGACCAGGAGGAGCAATTGGGTAAGCACTGAGATCCTGCAGCGGAAAAGCCTGAGAAGGAACCTCTTGCTCAACTGTAGTGCGGGGAAGGCCACTATTCCAGCTGTGACTAGCTGGGAGTGTAGGGTCGTAAAAGTCGTAAGGGACATGACCATCAGGAGGACCACCGCTATCAGTTGGAGCAGGGACAGCGTGTGTCTCAAGGGTGTCCGGTGCCTGAGCAACTCCTTCGACGCTGTCTGGCCTAAGCAAATGAGGAGGTGGAGCAACCTCTTCATCGGGCGGCCTTGGCCAGGACGAATGCGAGGACGACTCAGAGTCCGCATCTCTGGCGAAAAAGAGGAGGGACGCATGTCCATCAACATGCAAGTCATCACCGTGACCTGCACCTCCAACAACTCCGAGCTTATGGGAGTGAGGCAGCTCAATGCCAAGGTTGGTAACCAAACCAGGCAGATGAAGTACTGTAGTACTAACATGTGCTACCTGCGGCTTCATGCCCAAGGGGCGCAGGTCCAGCATCAAGAACAGATGCCGAGTGCGTTCGCGCATGTTGCTCTGTACTTCTGCCTCATTGAGCTCGTGCACCGCTGTAATGAAGGGACACGAATCTCCTTGTACATCCAAATCAGGCACGGCAAAGGAGCACATGAGGATGCCGTCAGGAGAAAGACGGAACCGATCTAAAACGGCCTGCTCTATCGATTGTCCCAGCTGCATAGAATACATGAAGTTGTACCTATCGCCTCTAAACAAAACGCAGGTACCATCATGACGCGGCAAGCTGGGTGCGTCCCTGTGAGAACCCCAACGTGCGGTTGCCTGGAACAAGGAATCAATTCGGTACCTTGGCGGAGCGGGCGTCGACCGCACAACGACTGTTATGACATCTCCACTACGAAGTACAACCATGGCATGTTGAGGCCAAGGATTTTTGTTGCAGCCGACATATATCGACAAAGTCTCGCCATGGTGGCTGGTAAGAGGGAGCACATACTCCTCGAGATTGTTGTAGGGAAGCCGTTGGGGAAGCGCCGTGGCAAAATAATGGCCCCCGACTCTGGTCAAATCGACGCAAACTGCAGCAAAACCCTCATCACCCATACATCTTATGACGCTAGGAAAGCGCACAAAGTGGGCATAATCATCAAAGCGCTGTGGCAATAGCGGGACGACCGAATCGAACAACTTGCTGGGCACGCCCGGGGACTGGTCGAGGATGATATCGACAATGGTTTGCAACGGTTGCGCCTGACCGGGTTTCACAATCAGCTTTTGAGGCTGATAATGTGGCGTGTACACATAGACAGTGAGCCACTCAGTGGCCTCCAGCTCCTGATCAGGAAACAAACCAGCCTGGGTCGGCCTTAAAAGCCGATCGTCAACCTGGATTGCATCGTCGTCGGCCCACGGAAGTGGATCCGGGGCCCTGCCAACAAAAGTAACCGGCTCAGTGGCAAGCGTTCGAGGCCGATGGGCTAAAGCCCGATGGTCATTGGGGGGATCCCCTTCAACAGGAGCCCTGGCCATAGCGTGCACGCCTGCCGGAAACACAAAGGAAGCCGAGACAAGGCAGGGCAAAGGATGTATGCACGCTGGAATGCTGTGGCACAAAGCAACAAGGCCAGAAAGCCAATACATAATAGTATTGGTAATTATTTAGGCCCCTGCATTAATCCATCAATGCCAAACCCTAATCCTAGGCCCTAAACCCCTTTTGAATCCTAAGCCCAAACCGCCTGACCGTCCCCCCAAATCCTGGCATGTTAAATCCGGAAACCTCTGTCCTAACATCAAGGACTCCCCTTCATCGTCCTGTATGATTCAAAGGCAATAGCATCTCCTCACATTCTGCGGATGCAATACCGCCGCAAACCCTTTCTATTTGCTACCCTATACTACAGCAACAAAAATCCTAAACCCTAAACCCTAAACTCTAAACTCAAATCAACCCTCCATCTGACAGGTGCTCTGCTGCCTGGCTCAAACCTGATGGTCTTGCTCAAAAACCCAAAGTTTATGCCTCTGAACTCCTGAAGCCCTGAGTTGATCAACGCGTCGAGCAACCTAGAAGTCTAATGTCGCGGCCTCAATGATTAGAATGCGGTCTTGGGGGGCATGGTATAGTATAACTATACTAAGGAACCCTAAGCCCTAAACCCTCAGGAATACTGTTGGCAGTTGCCTGAGCCCCTAAAATAGGCCACCACACATGCGGCCACGGTTTAGGATGCGGATTTCACATCGCTTTCGGAGCGCTTGGCTTGGTTTGCTTAGGGTGTAGGTTTTAGGGTTTAGGGCTTAGGGTTTAGGGAAAGAAACATCTACACCCTCAAGCCTAGACAAACCTGCGAATGTCTTCAGCAAACATCTGAAGCCCGAGCTCTATGACCTCACCAAATCCCAAACCCTAAACGTCCTCAACCCTAGGATTTAGGGTTTAGGGTTTAAGGTTTAGGGTTTAGGGTTTAGGGTTTAGGGAGCCCTAAACCCCAAGTCCTAAGCCCTAAACCCCTCAGCAGCCACAGCGCCCAGAAGATCGTGTGGTGGCTTGACGTCAGAGGTCCCAGAGGCCAGTAAAGAGCGGCGAAGATCCTGACTCCGGTCGTTGGCTTACTTAAAGGATCATGGGACTTCGTAACTAAGGTTATTTTTAGGGTAACTATACTTACAACTACTTATAACCCCTCAATTCAGGCACTTATAACGATACTTACTAAGTCCCCTAAACCCTAAACCCTAAACCCTAAACCCTAAACCCTAAACCCTAAACCCTACTTATAACCGACTTACTAAGTCCCTTGGGCCTCCCAGTGTTGCTTTGTGCCTTGGGGTTCCTGCCTG